CATTAGTCAAATAATGTTAAAATTTATATTTATTTTTTACCAAAAATATTATTTAACTCATTAATGAAATTTAAAAATTTAAGTAGTGATGTGAGTCAAAATTGAATGTAGAGTTTAAAATGGATTGTCTAAAGATAATTTTATCAAATTTTTTTTCATAATTAGAAAAATTGTGTGTACTATTAATCTATATTTTAAATAAACAAGTAACGTCGCTTCATATTTAAAAGCTTCAGCTACCAATAAGATAGATAAAAGATATCTAAGCAGTATATTCATTTTTAAATACAGAATAAAATTTAATGTAACAAAATAGATAACTGTTTATTGATTAAGCGTATTGTATGACGAAACATATAAATGTTATATACTTTACTATTTAATATATTGTATCACACGATGCTAGTTGGGGCCATAAGCAAGATTTTTTTCATTTGTATTGTAAAGTATTAAATTAATGTTTTCATTCAAAAAGGTTTTTTGCTAATCCTGAAAGACTATCTAGAAAATGACTTTTTTTCTGTCTTATTTAGTTAAAAAATTATTCAACTTAATATGCACATAAGTTGTTCATTTTGTGCAAACTAAATATAATAATATACGTTCGCAGAATGAAAGTTTCCATTTTTTATTATTTCCTCGAAAGCCAACTTTACGAAATAAAGGTATTAATCTTATTTAGTTTAAACTTAACTATGAGGTGCGTCTACCATTTTTTTGTTATCTTTCCTATTTCTATTCTTCAAAAATTATTTTCATTTATTATTAATAAATAAACAAATATGTTAATGTCCTCACATACAGACATTATTTTTTTTTCTTACTCGTGCATTGTTATCATCAAAACAACGAAGAAAATCAACAAAACTACAAAAAAAAAGACCTGTTTCGGCAGGGGCTTTATTTTTAATTTGAAATACTGTCTGAGGAGGAGGGGGGTTAGCACACAGGCAGCAAAGCTTGACTAGTAGTGCAGTCTATCTTTTTTCAGCCCCATGTTAAATTTTCACTTCAGAGATACAGTAAACAAAAATACGTGAAAAATCAGAAATTTCCCATAGAATTAAAAAAACTAAAATAAAAACAACTGTCGCTTTAAGAACTTACTGTAAATGGGGCCTAAAGTGTGCCAAATACTTTTTTTTCCACTTTACTCTCTTCAGGCTCATCAAATAAAAAGAGTTTCAAACAGAAGATGTAAAACTATTAATTACGCATCGATCCGTGCAAATCTGATGTTAATAAATTAATAAATGTATTTATAATTTTCCAAAACCCGAAAACAAGCGTTTTTGTAAAAAGTCCATATCTTTGCAAAAGAAAAGTTTTTTTTCACGAAACTTAGGAAAAAAACAGCTCCCACCTTACTTAAAAATCACGATTTTGGAAAATTTAAAATTTTTTGAAACTTTTCGAAAAAATCATTTTTTTTAAAAAGCTCTATACCTCATCGACGCTTGCATTCTTATACTTATTTTTGAGCTTAAATGTTTCTTAAAATGTTGTAGTTATATTGTTTATTATTTTTCGCTTTTTTAATTAATCGGTAATTGGCAAAAAATCGGATATTTTTTTAAAAATCCAAAAAATCATTTTTCTTCGAGAAAAAAATTTTCTTTTTTACTTTTAAAAACAGTATCAAATAGCTGGTATTTTTTTTATAAATTTACATAAAAAAAATTTTTAATGCACGACCCTTAGAAGCCAAAATAATACTTTTTTTTTTTTTTTTTTAATCTAGTACCTTCATTTTTGCATATTAAGGGCTAAAATTTTTAGAGTTTTCAGTAGGCATACTTGGGGCCAACTCCTTTCGCTGGCAGTAATGATGTGTGGGAGTAGAGGGACTGCTGTGAGGATGTTGTTCACGCACATGGATGTGTAAAAATATGCTTTTATAATACGTACCGTGTCGTAGCTTTAAGTGCACATGAAGCCTTTAAATGATCATGTATCTTGGGTGTTATGATGTGTTTTAAAGAAATAGTAGAATAAAATGTTAAAGAATCGTTAGGTAGATAATTTTTGTCAAGCATTGCTTTTTTTGGTAAAAATTTAATATTTATTTGACATATTACTTACAAAAAATTTTTAGTTAAATTACAAATTTATGGTACTTAACTAATACGCAGTTTTTTAATCGCCGGGTGCTCCCACCTTAACCACTCATCGCTGGTGCAGTCTTCGCTGTACGAAGTGAGTACGAAAGAGTCGGCTTCGCTTTCTATATGATCGTCATCATCATCATCATCATCATCATCATCATCATCATCATCATCATCATCATCATCATCATCATCATCATCATCATCATCATCATTATCATTATCGTCGTCGTCATCGTCGTCGTCGTCGTCGTCGTCGTCGTCGTCGCTTTTGACTTCACCGCAATCATCGGCCTAGCTTCCATGGATTGATCGCAAATAAGCCATGAATCCACTGACTGTGCCGGCTTGCCTGTCTCACGTTACTCTAGGTGCTTCGAGTGTGCCATCGTCCACTGCTCCGACATTGCCGCTTGATGGAGCTCCTCCACCTCTTCACTCTTGTCTGACATTTTTTCAAGCAATCTATGATAAGAAGAGCTATATGCAATTGCAGGAAACAACAAATAGCACAGTTAAACGTATCACACACTACTAAAGGATGTAAAATTGTGCTACGCTTGACGCCCAACGAGTAATGCGATGCGCCCACAACAGATGGCTCATAATCGAGGTCCCCGCGCATGGCGTGTCCAAATTTTTTTTTCATGTACATTTGTTTAAAAAATACCAGATACTTGATACTGTTGTTCAAAATAAAAAAAAATCTTTTTTCTTGAAGAACAATCATTTCTTAGATTTTTCAACCGATTTTTTGCCAATTACCAATCTATTAAAAAAGCGCACAATAATAAACAACATAACTACAACATTTTAAGAAAATTTTAAGCTCAAAAAAGAGTATAAAAATGCAAGCGTCTATGAGATGTAGAGCTTTTTAAAAAACATGATTTTTGTTGAAAAGTTCAATTTTTTCCAAAAGTTTGAAAAAGTTATTCTTTTGTATTTGATTGACTACTCAAGGCCTATTTCTTCTGCACAATAGTTTAACAGATAAGTGTGGGATCCTAAAATTGACTGTATGTACGTCGTTGGTTGGGCTGCTGCTTATGATTTTTTTTATTTACAGCATTCAACATATTACAGTATTCTGTATGGTGTTAACACACGTTCTTCTCAAAGAAGAAAGTTTAATTATAACTTGGGATGATTTTAAAGAATAAACGTTAAAAATTAAGATGTACACATTTTTATGCACTAAATTTTAAGTTTTTCAACCTATGATAATAACAAGTTTGTACTATTCCACAGAGCAATTGAACTTGATGCTAAAAATGCAGTTTTTTACTGCAATAGAGCAGCTGTACATAGCAAATTAGGAAATCACTACCAAGCCATTAAAGACTGTCAGACTGCCCTATCCATCGACTCTTCATACAGTAAGGCTTACGGAAGATTGGGGTTAGCTTATTCTAGTTTGAATAAATTTAAAGAAGCTAAGGAATGTTATGAAAAAGCTCTGAAGTTAGAACCAGATAATGAAAGTCTTAAAAACAATTTGCAAATTGCTGAAGAGAAACTTTTTCAAATACAACCTGAGATAACTGATACAGGGCGTGCATCGAACATTGTTCCAAACGTTGATTTAAGCTCTTTGCTTAGTGATCCTTTCTTAATGAACATGGCTAGACAGATGCTTTCTAATCCAGCAATGCAAAATATGATGAGTAATATTATGAGTGGACATGCTGAACAAGGTGAGAGGATGGATGCTTTAATAGAAGCGTACGTATTACAATTTTTCTAATCAATTGCTTTAAATATACACTATTTGTTGTTTTGTTTCATAAAAAAGTTAACGTATATAAATTAAGTTTAAAATCTTCTTAAAAATACATTTTTATAATTTTCGTGTAAACTGCACTGTACTTGAAGCTTCAATAAAATTTCGGATAAAACAGATTTGCATTAATAAATAATTCTGCCGTGCCAATGAAGCCAGGCTGTTTACTTTTTTAACGTAAATCTCATGTCTTGGCACTACGATTTCTGATAAATTTGTGTAGCTCTCAACCGATTTTTGTTGGTTTTTATTTATAACCAACGAAAATTTGCCTAATTAGAGCATAGTTAAAATTTTTACCCATAACTAGCTTGTTTATAGCCTCCACAGTTTTGTGTTAAAGAGGAAAGTGCCGGAAAAAATTACTATACCCTTAGTAGTCTGTGCAAATCACGAATTTTTTAGGACAACTGAATTACTTCGAAAAATTTTTGGCAACCTAATGACGGGTTGGAAAAGACCTTTTCCGCCCTCGGGTGGTTTTGGGAGGCTGGTATTTTCTCGGGCGAAAAAGCAGTTTTCCGCCCTCGGGTGGTTTTGGGAGGCTGGTACTTCCTCGGGCGAAAAAGCAGTTTTCCGGAACTCGTTCGAAAAGTCTCCTTTACGAACCTCGTTACGTCCCTCGCCTTCGGCTCGGGCCGCAAACCTCTCGGTTTGCAAACAGAGACTTTTCAAACTCGTAGGAAAACTACTATTTTTTGATCGTAGCATTTTCTGTTCAGACTTTTTGAAACAAACCAGTGAAAGGAAAGCATGCTTGTAACTAATACAGCTATTCTAGGGGTCGCGAGTTCGATTCCCGGTGAGTGCAGTTATGTTAAATAAAAAGGAGCACTTATTTTTGAAGTGAAACTTCTTTAGGCGCGCCTTATATGGGGAGTTAACCCGTGAAAAGAGTAAGCGAGCGAATGCTGCCATGCACACACATACACACGTGTGTTGGCGCGCGCTCGTGTGTGTGTGTGTGTGTGTGTGTGTGTGTGTGTGTGTGTGTGTGTACATATACCAATTGCACCGTAGGCAGTGGATCCTTGTCTGTCTTCCTTCCTCTCTTTCCCTCTATCTATATATATGATTTAGCTTCTCTTTAGCTCTATATATAAAGTAGACAGTCAATCTGAGAAATTGCCAGCGCAAGCCAACAGATTAATAGTCAAGCTGTCACCCATCCGACTACCAATCGCGGCCAACTCTGCTTAACTTTTCAGATCGACGAGACTGCAACTCTACCGCTGCGCCACCATATCGGTAGTAGGGATACCTACTGCTGCGTGGTGGAAATCGTAACGTGGCTGTAATACGGGCTAAACTGGGTCTCTGTTACAACTAAGGTACTGTCAGGTAAATAATGTATGATACAAAACATCGCTTGATCTCTTTGAAGTCTTTGAAAAACATAATAAAAATCGTTTTTTCTTATTTATTTTTTTGTATGTATACATGTATGTAAAAGAACGTACGTAAAATATTAAATATGTATAATACCACTTAACTTTTAAAAGCAAGTAATAACGCTGTATCTTAAAAGAGAAGCAGAATTGGCTAGAATTAATTATTTCTACGGGTTTCCTGAAGGGTTTCTACATGATCAAGGTGCACACATAGAGAGGGGTTAGACTATGAACAAACATAGCCTAAATTTTTTTATATTTTGACTGTATCTTGAAAAGAGTAAGTCGAAAAAATTTTTTTTATTTAGTATGGCACGTTTGGCAAATCAATACGGACGTTGACAAAATCTTCAAAAAATTTTTGTTACAACGTAACCTTCCAAAATTAGAAAAATAGTTGTATCTCGAAAAGGTTGCCAGATACGCCAAAAATAATTCCACGCATAGAAAATAACTATTAACATGGAAAAATATGTTAGATGGATTCATACAAATAATCGTAATAATCCTAAAAATAATGAGTCATATCTCAAAGGCAAAGCTACAACCTTCTTATCCTACCTATAAATTGATTTATTTTCTGTTCTCTATAATGTATTATAAAAAAAATTGTCACGTGACCAAAACCTATATTATTTTTATTACCTTTGAGATCAGTAGAAATTAGTTAAGCATGGGTGAATTTCAATATTAAATTATAAGTTGTTATGGAAAATGAATGAAACAAAAAATTACAATTTTACAATAGAGAATAGCTATGTGTCTATTGTTTTCCTCGATAAGATATAGTGGATTATTTTACTTTTATGATAGCCAAAATTAAAAAAAGTGTTTATTTGTCGGATACAAAGATTCCAACGAGAATTCGTTGTACACGTTTGATCTCATATCAAATGCACGAATATTAATTTAAAATAAAAGGAATTTTTGTCCCGCGTAATGAGACAAAAGTACCTTCCTTCGGCGCAGTATAGTGAAAATTTTTGTTTCATTCTGCAATACATGACCAACAATTCGTACATGTATCACATATATCATAGCAATCATGGAGGTATTTAGAATGCGCGAATTATAACATAAATAATATATTAAGGTATTTGTATTCTATGTATGCGCGAGCTCGACTACGTAATAATTTTAAAATTTTCACTATTTTAATATGGGATTTTTAAAGATCTATTGACATTAGGTGTACTCTAATTTTCTTAGTTTTTATTATACCGAGTTGAAAAACATTTGAGTTGGAAGTTTCACTTCTGCCGGAGATCCCGAGATCCACACCTGGTTTTTTTTTTTACGATTTTTTAGACGGTAAAAAATTTCGCGATATCGTCGTATTTTTTTGCTTGAGAGTGATTTTCATAAGCTTATAACTCCAGTTCTATTTAAGCTACAGACTGTTTTTTTGTATATTGAATTTGTACAAATAAGGTTTAAAATACCACTTGTAAAAAAATTAGGAATAATTTAAGATTTTTATCAATAATTCAAATGTTTCAATAAATTTTAAATAACTGCTTCAACCTTGAAGCAGGTTGTAAGTATGACCTTCATATCTATGTTCAATTTTCTTTAAAAAAGCACTTTTTTGATCAGAGCAAAAATGATTATTACTATTGTAGAAAAATAAATTAACTTAACGCGCTACGTGTCTCATCGTCGTGTGGGTGCCACTTTACGCTCTTCTTTTTTATGCTGCATTGGTTTCCTTTGGAATATACATTAACATTTAACTTTTTTAATTAAATAGTTGTATTTGTTTGTCAAAAAGGTGGTATAACAGATTGAAATGAAACAATGTTATTAATAATTAGTACATAAATAAAAAACATCTTTGTTTGAGAAAAATTTACTTTTTCAACACTTGTCAATACTATATTAAATGCATCTCGTTCCATACGATATCATTGTGTATGTTATTGTTTACAAAAACAAAAATGGCCTAATTATTTATAAATATTAAAGCTCCATTCAGTGTCCTCAAAAATACTCCTCAAATGAGTGTCATTTCAGCAATTGTTGGTTCATGTCTTAACTATTTATGACTCATATTTTATTTGCATATTTTATTGATACAAAAACCTCAGTAACGAGTGACTCGTTGATTTACTTTAAATGATGTAGTACTTGTCTAAGTTTAAATTTACATTGATAAATAGTTAATGAGACGACTCAAATACAAGTATCTCTTCTACCAGCGTAGTAGTAACTCACTATAGTTTGCCAGTAGGGTTATAACCGAGAGGACCTCATAACAAACTCTTATGTCAAGTGTTGATGATTTTGCACTAATTCTTAGTAATGGTTTGATTGAATTACTAATGCATTAATTTTTAGTTAATAAATAAATAGAATTTCCAAATATAAAAAAGAGGACTTCAACGAAAAATCAGTGTATCGTTATTTGTGATGTCTCAGAAAGTGATGCATTTATAATTCAAAATTCTGTACCAGGCATCCATTAAAATGTGGACCAAGCTACAGTACATCCATTTTCCATTTACTTCAAAGATGATAAAAATAAGTTAAAATAATGAAGTTTGCTTTTTATATCGGAATGCTTACATCACTATACAGTTTGTATTACATTGTAAAACAGTTAGTAAATTTTATAAGAACTAATTTAAAAAATGTAAACAAAGTCATACATTTTTTAGAAGGTGCCAGTGAGTACTACGATGATAAAAAGAATTTCATCAGTCTTATGCATCGTTTTGAGGACTTCCATTTATCAGCTGAGTAGCACTTTTGCCCAACTTCCTATGGGAAAGGATCATGTGACGGAGTAGGTGGCACACTCAAAAAAATTGCTACTAGAACATTCTTCCTCAATGGATGAATGGTCCAATCCATTCTCTTAAAGAATTATTTAACTGGGTGACAGAAGTTTTACCAAACATAACCTGTCGTTATTTAAGTAGTGCTGGATATGAAAAAGAAAAAAAGTACTGGTCCTGCGTTTTCAAAAAGCATTGACAATAAAGAGATATTTAGGAGTGTCGTTGGCATAGGATTAGGGACATAGGATACGTAAAAATGAGTATACGTTAGAATCTAAATGCTACTTACTACTACTATTTGATGTTGTGATTTTTAGCAAGGTATTTTTAATATGGTATTGACAGATAATAATACTCTAATTTTTGTTTTACACAAAGGTGTTTTTTTATTATGTAAAAATTATTACTATTATTTTTTTTATTTTCTATACTGTCTCCTCGACAAACAAATAGAATCGTTTCATTAAAAAAATTAAATTTGATGTATATTTCAAAGGCGAACAAGTAGAAACAAAAAAAAGGGCACGAAGGGACACCTGCGCTGATGTGACAGCCTGTTAATTAATTAATTTTTTTAAGACACAAATAATAATTCGTCTATTTATCGAACTAGTGTTTTTTGTAACATCTTGTATAGTTACTAATTTCTTTCGAAAATATTTTTTCCTAAAGCTCATTGTTTTACTTGAGAAAAAAAACCTTCTGTAGCTTCAATAGAACCGTGGTAATGAATTTTTGAAAATTATTTCTTAATCCCAAAATCACTGATATCGCGAAATTTTTATTTTTTTTCTACACGAAAACTGTTGTGAAAAAAAACGTGTCATTTTTTTTAACATAGAAACCGTAAAATAAGTTTTAGCCATATCAAAAATATGTTGGTCAGTTTTTGTTAAAATCTGTACAATTTGTAAACAAACGTATCATTTATTGATTTCATTGAAAAATGCAAAGAATCAAAAAATTTTTTTTTAATTTTTTTGTAATAAATTAAAAACTAATTTTCAACATCTTCCAACGTGCTTTGATTTTCGTTTTTGTATGGCGCAACTAAATCCCCAAAGGTAAATTTTGTACGGTCAACTCTTTTGTAGAGTTTCAATGGTCAGAGAGTTTCAGCCTTACAAATAATGTCACTGGACCTATGGAGGGATTGATCACCTTAAATCTGTGCACCTATTACTTAATGGTCAAAAACTAACATCAAAGATAAGGAAGTTCAGGTTAACTTGTACACCGTAGAAGCTCAACTCAACGCTAAAGCTGAGTCTGCAGTAGCCCACTGTCTACCTATGTTTTATGAACAATCTCAATTCATAAGAATTATTAACAAACGGGATCCACAGCTTGCTGGCATCTCAATTTGCAAAAAACTGACAGTGGAGAGCAGCAAGGATCTCTTACAGTTTAAGGAATGAATATTTTAAGCTTGTTTTGTTTTAGAGTTGTGCAGCATCACTTCGCTGAAAACAAGCAGTTACTTAACGTTTGCAAACCTCTTCAGAAAACAGCAACCTGCATAGCCTCAACCCATTTATCTGCTTTTAAAGGTTACTCAGAGTTGGCGGTTGACTCCGAAATGCATCTCTCGCTAACGATGTAAATCATCCGATCATCTTACCAAATAAATGCATCCTCGTCAGATACCCAACGCAAGAGGTATACTCTTTCACGCTTTACAGAGGCTCCCAGTTAATGTTGTCAGTACTGAGATTATTTAAAATTACAAGAGCATGACAGCTAATGACTGATACCGTTTAAAATAGCACTACATGTGTATGTTATGCTTGCAACCACTCAAATCAGCTTATTAAGTTACACCCACAAAGAAGGTTGATATGACCAATCTTGTCTGCGCAGGTTCTATCTTCATGTTCTTCTCAAAAGGAGTTAGATCTTCATGAGGCTACTTAAAAATGTTTGTATGCATGGTTACAAGAGCAACGCATATCGAAATAGTCTTTGATCTCATTACTGAGGTGTTTCTCATAGCTTTCTTCACAGTAAGTTATCCCAAGTTAGCGGTCGTGGACCACCCTTCCGTCACGGTTGCTCAACTTTTTGACAGAGTTTGATACTATGGATACTCAATGAATACACTCATAGACGTATACGCTGAATGAACCAACTGATTGCGGCAAGATTATGTTGTAAGACACTGTTTGTAACACATTTGTCGTATGTATGATACTCGTCTTAAGTGGATAATTTTTCGTTGATGGAAGTGGTATTCTGGTTACCGAAATTTTGGGAGTAACATCGCGTTTCATGAGAAATTACTTCAAAATAGCGATTGAGCTATATACCCAAATGACCACATACCCAAACTGGTCATTATTGATGATTAATTGCACAAACCATCCAGTAGTGACAGTATTGTTGACTTATTTACTAAAGTTAGTCATTATAGAAATACAATTAATCTGCACAATGCAAAATACATTTTATCAAGGTAAAAGCTGGAGTGATGTATTGCTTAGCTTGTAATACATAATCATTTTTAGATATTTACGAGATCGTATGCAAATACATTTTTTAAGACAAGTATTCTTACAAGAAGCCTATTGGGACGCTACTTCACGACGATTTGGTACCTGTTTTTGTATTTCAATTAAAATCTACTGGAACACTATCGATGTCGGACTTCTTTCGGATAACGAGTATCTGCAGGTGACTAGAAAGTGGGTCAAAAGACGTGACACGACACGTAAAGTTTCAATCATGTCGCATAAATAGTTTTGAAGTCCCCTTTACTTTTTCGTTAAGAACACTTAATCATTATAAGAGCTCCTTATTATTTTGGCATTGAACAACAAAAATCACTGTTGTACATGGTCAATATTATGCTAATCAGGTACACTTGCGAATACGCGTTTAAGATTCTCGTAAAAAACGTTTTACTACTTGTGAAACATAAAAAATGCTTGCGTAAATACGCCAACGTTCTTAGATAACTCGTAAATGCAATAATCGATTCGTTATTAAAGTAAAAAATCATCTTACAACAGGAAAAAAATTTTCAATCTGTTTTGTTAGGCCTACTCCTCGAAACGGTGCTGTCAATACTGTAACAAGAATCGAGCACGCAAAAAATGGTTCTTTTGCCCTAAGAGAGCATTGACCGTTTGCCGCCGTAAAGCAATGAGTAAGAAAAGTAGAAAAAATGCCAACAAATTTTACAATGGTGCTTACATCCTCAAGACTTAGTCAGTTAAAGAGAACAACATCCTGATACATGACGAAAAACGCCAATACATCACAAAATGACGATCTCTCTGACGACGATGTCGACGAGAATATATAGAAGCGTGAGGAGAAGAGAAAGGATGCCAAAATTATCGAAAGGGTACTAAAACAGGTGTGGGCCGCGGGACTCACGACAGATGTAAAACATTAAAGAATATGTTATTGAACTCGGTAGTATTTGATTGTCCATGATAAAAATAGTAGTTTTCGTTAATTAAGTGCTATCGTCTCCAGGGCTAACTTGCGGTCCAAGGGACCTGCGAAACAGAGCCCGAGGGACGTAAGGCAGATGAATGAATATTATAGATTAGGAAAAAGTAAACTATGTGTATATTTTTTTTTGTTCATTAACATATAAACAACGTGAACGAGAAATAATAATAATAGACAGTAGAGAGTATCTATACTACCTACCTCCACAAAGGTACATAAATTAGTTTAACAAACGTTCGTGTCTATTACTTTCTCTGTTCCTATAAAAATCGAATTGGCGTGCTGCACAGCACAATCGATAAGGTCCCCGACTACCAATCCTAAAGATGTAGTTCGATTCTCGGAGTCAGTAAAATTTCAGAATTTTATTTATACACAAATAATATATAATATACATGCGTACGTATGTGTATACTATATATNTATTTGTCATATATATATATATATGATATTTAATTATGATTTACTCTTCTATGTAGCTATTTATACGGGTAGTACACTTCATAAACTAAAGAGAGCAGCAGTAAGCGCGCGGACAAAGAGACAGAGAGTTAAGCTGAGCTGAGCCGAGTTTACCCGGAGATCGGCCGTATTCTTCGATTGCTTTTACTCTCTCATTCGCACACTCTCCTGTACAGCATACTATGTATGCAATGTATATCTATATATTTTTCGTAATGCTTTTTCGTTACGGTCACCACGCATCACTCACGTTTACTCACCATGCTCATGCGTGCCTATAGATGTTTCACATCAAAAAATTTAGTTAAAAAGTTGCAGTTATCGTATAATGGTTGCGCGCTACTGGCAACGTTTAATGGACCAATAAACATACCATCACCATAGGTTGCTTTTGCATATCACAGTCTTACATTGTCGATTTGGGCTCCTTGTGCTTGCCTTGGTTGGATGCGCACCAGGTACAAACCCTATTTTTCCTACTAAGGGCACACCCGACCCTTAAAAACACCCGAGGTAGGATAAAACGGTACTTCCGACGCCTTTACTGACTTGCTACTGCTCATAATGCATGTACCTGGATAAAAATGTTATGGTCCTGGAATGAAGCAACTGGAGTGTATAACGTTTGAAAAATTATGTTGTCAGCATGATCTTACCTATGCTAGAGAGAAATATACAGATAAATGTGTAAAAGCTAATAGAGCATTGGCCAAATTCACTTTTTCGCGTATGCCTGGTTATAAAGAATTGGTATATTTTAATTGTTAAGTTAGTTGAAAAGTTTGAAGTATCATGATTTTCATACTGTGTGAAATGTAAAAAATGTTTTAATATGCAACTATTGTAGGGAGAATGTGTACAGATGTTTGAATTGTTTTCATTCTCTGCAGTAAGACTCATGTTGTTCAACAAAAATTTTAAGAGGAAGCTTTAAAAAATTAGTGCATTTAAAAATAATTCGTATATCAAACAGTCAAGTGGATTACCTGATTTAATTTAAAGATTGCGTAGAGAAATAAAGTTGATGAGAAATCTTTCGTTCTAAGGAAAGGAATGAGTTACAAATACGTTTGTTTTTGTTTAATATATATTGTGTGGGAGTAAAAAAAATTCCATATTTATACAAATGAGATAGATTGGTATACTTTGTTAATCTACATAGTAAATCAGATTATTATCAACTTTTTTTTTCATTTCTTATCTTATAATTGATATTTTCTTTCAGAGGTCAACAGTTAGCTCAACAAATGCAAACGGCAAATCCAGAACTGATTGAATCTCTTCGTCGTCAAATAAATGAAAGTCCAAGTGATGTGGAATCAACAAATAAAAAAGATTTATGAGGGAAAATACAAATTAAATATCTTCTTAATGGATTACAAGTTTAATAATAATATAATACTTAGTAGTTAAAAATGTATAATTTCTACGTTACGTCTGTTTTTTTATTAAAAATATGGTATTTTTTGTGGTTTAATATTAATTTTAAAATAATAGAAAATTATTTACGTGTAGTTACACATAGTTATGTACACAAACGGTTTTAATTTTATTTTAGCTGATTATCTGTAATAGAAATGAAAATTATCTAGTTGCTAATTTACCAAATGATTTACTGATTATTTGATTTTGAAAGCATAATAGCTTTTCTTCATTGACAATTCATCAGCTGGTCACATAATTTAAAAAAAACGATTTTCAGGAACTCAAAGTAAAGTTATGCCGTCACAAGGGCGTATAATTATGTATTAAAAGGATGAAACAGAGGAAAAAACTTGAACTTCATCGAACGATTTAGATAAGATAAAAGGATTTTGACATAGTAGCTGAAAGGTTGCAACATCACTCGAAGAAACACCATCCTGTTAAACAAATAAAATAAAATAATACAGGGAAATATTGGAAACCGGTGTGCTAAATTACTATTCTTAAAAAACGAGCAGAATTAAGAATGTTTAGGGTTACTAGTTTCCACCGTAATAAAATATATCTTCAGCAGTAAATAAATGTGACGAGATGGTAATCACAAAATTAAATAATAAGTACACTAATGTATAAAAAGTTTTACTTTAATAAAACAAATATTTTATCATTAAATAATCATACATAATGATTAAAATCCCAAAAGGACTAAGTATATCACGTGCTTAAAATGCTTTCCTATTTTTATAGTTACTCCAAGACGTCATTCTCAGCGCATAAAAAAATCAGACGGTTACTTCGAATAGTCGCACGATAAAAACAAGCTGCTAAACTTATGCAAAACACTATGTCTTGTTAGTAAGGCACGACTAATCTATAAGGTGTCAGAAAAAAAAGTGTTTTTCGAATAACAGAATTTAATTTTATATTATTACGTTATTATATGCAACTACGTAATAGTATTAAAATGCTAACTTTGAGTTTAAACTAACAAACCCTTTTTCAGACATTTTGGAACATTTCTCGGTATTAAGTGTCTTTATAACGACACTACAGGTGAGATTGGTCAGTAAAAAAAAGTGTATTTTTAGAAGATCTACAATTTAAATATTAAAAATTTTATGTACAAATGTGCTGTTCAAAAATAAGATAGCATCAAACAATTCTTTGGCTATATTGAAATGATTTTTGTTGGTTTAATTGTGAAGACAGTGCTTTATAAAAATCTAACTGTACAAAAAAATTCTATTTTGATGAGGTCTACAATTTTTGTATTTGTCATTTTGTTGTACGACTGGAATTTATTTCTGCAACAGGCAAAAACTTTTTATTCTACTATTTTCGTATGTATTTTACTTTAGAGGGCGTTTGCAATGCGATCCAAAGTAAAGTGTATGATACAAAAAAGTTTTATTTTAATGGGATCTACAACTCCGCATTTGAAAGCGAACGTGTAAAATGTATGCTAAAAAAGTAATCGATGAAAAACTGTTTTTTTTTGTCTCGGAGCGCTGCAAATTTGTTTTATACTAAAAATAGACGATTTATAAGTAGATACACTTTCTGCTCTGACATATTATAAGGCACTCCCATACATTAGTTGTGCCTAAAAAGTGAAACACTTTTTGTTTGGATCCTCTACTACTCCCAAAACCCTCACAGCACTTCAGTGACCCTGCACAACTTTCACTACCCTGTGGCAAATTTTTTTTAACAAAACTTTTCTAAAACGTTCTACAAACATGATATATTTTTAACTACATTCCAAACAAGTGGTTACTTGCAATTTAAAAAAACCAATAATATGTCTAATAAACTTATTTACAAAAAGATAATTTTGAAGATAATTAAAATATTATCTTTTACCATAAATTTTTATTGATGAAATATAAATGTCATATTAACGTTTGACATTGTGCATTAATCCAAAGCATAAAATATATTATGACTACTTTTATAGAGGCAGTGACAGAGCCCATATAATAATAAAAAAATTGAAAAAGAATGAAGAAATAAGTTGTTATACTGGTGCTGGATACGCAGGTTTAATGAAAACAGCAATAGTATGAAACTATCAGACGTAAGAAACAGCATACATATGATTAAGCAAACATGAATATTCTGCAAAATGAGTAAAGAATGTGAGAATTTCAGAATATTGCATTTTCAATAACAAACTAAAAATTTGAAAAAAGGGGAAAATGTAATAAAAAATATTTTTATATGTAAAAATATCCCCAAAGGATCACGAACGTTTTTATTTTCACTTATGTTAAAGAGACTGAATAGTGCAACATTCTTCGAAGACATTGATATATATCACAAAGTTAAGTACCAGAAGTTTGACGATACTAAAACTGCAATGGCTTTAATAAATGTTGATTCTCAAATTGATAATACTTTCGAAGAAGCAATAACTTTCAGGTTTTCTAATTAAGACAGCTTTTTTTTTTTTATACGACGACGATGACGACGACGACGACGACGATGATGATTCTGATGAAAATAAAAATGAAAATAATAGTGTTGCGCACATCGCGAGTTAATATAATTAGATTGACGGGCAGTTTTGACTAATTTTAATGTGGAAAAAACAATGTAGAATGTTTTGTAGAATTTTCGTCAACTTATTTTCCCTGCTTATCGTTAGAGAGGAAGTTGGCTCATCGTGTCTTGGGGATTAAAAAATTCTGTTACCCATGTTATACTCAGAAGTATAAAATCTCTCCAATCGAAGGGGAAAGGGCTGTGACTTTTCCGTTTTACTTTACATTTGATAAAGTAGCAAATACTTTCTAGTACACATATCTTTATGTAAGGAGACTTAAGAGGACTATACGTGCTTTTAGAATATATACTGATAACATTGAAAAGTTGTGAAGACAGTATGCATAAGTACAATTTTATCCTAATAATTACCTTTTTTACGTAATAATGTCCGCAAAGTCTCCATTGATAAAGATATAAGTATGTATCTTTATGTGTATATGTCTCCCTATATTATATAGTTGTATTGACGAAAGTAAGTCTCAGCCACCCCCCCCCCCCCCCCCCCCCCCCCGCTCCCCCTCAGTGCCCCCTCGATTTACGTAGTTATTTGCTTATTTTAACGTCATTTTTCATCAAATTTTGTTTGAGTGAGCTTCCCCCCGCTCCTCCCCGCTCCCCTTCAGCTCCCTCTCGCTCCTCCTCCACCTCCCCTTAAGAAAATACTTATTTATTAAATGATTTACCATCATAAATGTTAAAAAATATACGTAATTTAGTACCCAAGTCATACCTCGTTTTTAGGGTTATTCAAGTCACTGATCATAGGTCTCCATCTGTCTTTCCGCTTCCCCTTACTCACTATAAGTCTCTGAAGGACCATTATTTGTTTAACTTGATTAAATTTTTACGTTTCAAACCTATTTCTGGTCCATGTGTACTTTACCCAAAAATTAAATTCTTGATTACCTAAAGACTTTATTAACAAAAAAACAGGATTCAGGAGGAGGTATAATTAAATAGACAAACACAATTAAGCTTTTAAAACAAGAATTCATTCTGTTAGCTTAATGTTCTGACAGTTCATGTGTCGTTTTAACCCATGTGTTTTTTTAAAACCCTTTCCATATCTTTCACATATTTGTTTTTCATGGTTTTTATGAACTAACATACGTCTGTTTAAATGTGACGATCTTCAAAGTTACATATTTTTGAATTGCCAAAAAATTTATTGCTAAACAATATTTTTAATTTCTGATTTATTCTCTGATTAAGTTAAATAAAAATTTTTTTTGGATTCTCACATCTTAATAAAGCAACGTATAACTGTCCGTAAAAGAATAAAGGTTTTTTAATATACAATCCTAAGGAATCAAAACTCTATTTTTCTGATTTGTTAATAAATATAGAGCATGATAATACTAAGGAAAACTGTTTTCTATAGTAGAAAAAAGGTAATGATGATGAGGTCCCAGTATCCAATGTTATTCTAGAAATATAAAATTTGCTTTTTTTTCTTCCGTTATTATTTCTGCTTCTGTATTATACTTAAATAATTTTGTTATTTTTAATCTTGTGCCTCTACAGAGACCGTCTGATATGCTTAAATTTCTTATTAACATAACTATAGCATTTCTTTTTAATTTTAATTCGTGTGGTGGAACACCTCCTTTGATATTATTTAAAAATTGTATTGGACAATTTATATTGATGTTATCATATGTTTTATCAACTCCTTTGTGAGTCACGTATTCTGCTGTTATGAACTTATGATCAGCCTGCATTGATAAATACACGAGTAATGTCGTTATTTTGTCTACTCAATCTGTTAGTGGCAGGTTGGCGCGCAGAGCGCATTAGCCTTGTTAAATGATGATACGTTAGCGAATGACTTTCAATTTATTACCATAAATATGGCTAATTTATCTATAAAAATCATTAAGTAAAGTCAATAAATTATGTAAAAATCTCATTCCAGGCAATACATTCTATTTTTGTATTTTTTGCCTTTCTAATTAAAAAAATTAATTATTTTCATCTTTGCATCTTGATTCAGCCACATATAGTTGACCACAAGAAAATAAGGGTTTTTTTTAAGTACAAACCTTTATTATTTAAACTTTGATCTTTGAATTTGTTTATTATTACAACAAATGCCAGAGCGATTGGAAATTGTTTACGATACAAAATAAACGGTAACGTTTAGGAGTTTCCTGTGTCTAAAGTTATTCTTGGAATGAAGACTTGATTTCCATTTTATTCTTTAGTTATTATTTCTCTTTCTTTATAATAGTGTTATAATTTTGTGATTCGTAAACGTGTTTCATTACAGAGTCCATCTGATATACTTAAATTCCTTAGTGACATCCCAATTGTACCAATTTTTAGATTTAGTTCATGAGGTGATAATCCTTCACGAATATTGTTCAAAATATCGACCGGAAAATTCAAATAAATACTA